GGGGGGGAGCATGGGGGAGGGATGTCTTTTTTCCTGTGTGGCTGGGATGTTCAGAGCCCCCTTGGCCACCCTCTCATCGTTGTTTCACTTCTTGAGCCCTTGGAGTCGGTTCAGTAACTCTGAATGCAGTTGTAAGTGTCTTGCCTTGTTCTCCGGCTTTTAACAAGGGTTCCACTTTAACACGCGAAAGGGTAACCCGATCCAGGCGTTTACAAATCTACAATGAATAAAAATATAGAGAAAAGGGGAAGAGAAAGGAAAGAATTCCTACTGAGACTCTTTATTCATAGGTGTAGGTAATGTACTCAACAGGAACAGGTACATTTGGCAGTTTTATTGCTTTATACCCTCCAGCTTCCTGTTAACATCATGAAGGCGTTTTTTTCGCAGGTGCACATGCTAGCATTTTCTCCAGCAGCAAGAGCATGCATAACAAAAGATGTCAGAAAATAGGCTGGGGAGTGTTTGCAACACGTTGTTTTCTTGTTTCGAAATAATTCCTGCCGCATAATGGATGCTAACCCCGAAATGGGGGAAAGTTGGGCAGAAGAGGAGACCGCTTTGAAATAATACCTTTATGCCGCCTTGGCGGAGGGAATAAGGCGTCTGAGTCAGACAAAAAGGAGAAGAAGAAAAGACAGGGAGAATCTGCAGGAGCTGCTTCCTGCGATAGACGGCAAATGGAGTTGCATATGCAACTCTCGTTCAGCCTAGCTGCCGGACGAGATGCGGTGGGGCGAGCGGGACAAGCAGCGGCTCCGGATGGGGGCCGGGGGGAGCGGCGGCGCCGCGGGGATGCGGAGCCCCCGCCGAGCCGTCAGTGGGCGCCGGCCGGAGGGAAGAGCTGGAAACCCGGCGTTGCTCTTCCCCTGCGGTGCTCAGACATCCTCGTCTGTCGTCAAGACAGTTGACTCCGTCCAACCTCACACCGATAATTTTCCTCAAATTAATTAGGCCCACCGGGGGTCGCGGGGGGCGTGAGGAGCAATAGGGGCCCGAGCCGTGCCCTGGTAGAAGCGGCAATCACAGGAATATTTCTTTTCCGAGGTTCAGGCAGGTCCCGGGCCCGCGCTCTGGAGGTGGATGCCAGGGCAGCCGGGAGGTCCCTGCCCGCTGGGGAGACTGTACTGCCGGGCACCGGTCCTCCCTGGCTCCCATTTGCGTGCAGCCGAGCTCCGTCATCGGCCTCTTTCTGGAGAAATTAGACTTGAATCAATAGCTCTGGACGCATCAGAATAGTGGAGTGCCCATTTGCCAGGGTGGGTGACTCGTGCCCGTCCCCACCCCTCCTAGTCCCCTTGCCCTGAAGTGCCTCCGAAAGTAAGCAGGCAGAAGTCACGAGTGAGGGGCGGGAGCCCACGAGGGGAGCTGCCTTGCCTCAACTGAGCTTCCCGGGAGCTGCACGGGGCCGGGCGGGCCAGGAGCCTGGCTGGATGGGGCAACGTGCCAGTTAGGGGCAGGCTGGGGACTGTCCTGAGGCGGGAGCCCCTGTACGGCCTCCTGAGAGAACACGTCCGTTCCTGGGAAAAGGCAGAAGGAATTAACTGCATGCGACCCCCCTTCCTGCCTTCCCCGCTCTTTCCGCGGCCAAGCTCGAGCTCCCGGAGGTCTGGGTTGGAGCCCTGGTCGGGGGCGATGGGGATATGCCCTGTCCACTGTTCTGCGCTCTATTCCCTCTGGACCGCGGGTGCCACCGGGCCCTAACCGCGCATCCCTGGCCTTCTTTTCTCCTTACCCCGCGGTGTAATATTCCCAGAGAATGCTCTCCCTCGCAAGTCACCCTCTCTCGTATGGAGAGCAAGGAGGCCTTTGCATCCCAAATGCGATTAGGGCCAATATCTCTCCACGCCCGGGCTGGCTGAGAGCCGCGGGGGCAACGCTACGCTCCCTTTCCCTCTCCCCCGTCGTCCTCCCCTGCTCCGCTGACGGGCGGAGAGCGTGGCACCACGCACCGGGTTCGCTGTGCCCCAGGACTGGGTGACTTCGTGCGACCGGTCTTCGGTGTCACCTTAAACCGCGTCGCTTTAATGATGTTCGTGGGTAACACTTTCAAAGGACCAAAGCGTGTTTGCGTGGTTTAAGGTCACATTTGTGAGTCAAAAGATGTCACATAACAGACACAACAGTTAGAAGGAGCTGACAAACAACAGGAAACGGGGTTCTATTTTTAGGGTGTAATAGGAAGTTAATGTAAGTGGTCAGAAGCTTCCTATATGCCTCCGAGCACCTTCTGTTCCATTCATTCATTCATCCGTTCATTCATTCATGCGTTCAACAACAACAACAGGGGAAAACAAACATCCCCGTTCCGTTTCTCATCCCATCCTTGCCGGGAAGTCCTGCTGAGGTGTTTGCAAGGGTGGGCTCTGCAAGCGGAGTCCCTTTTTCGGGTGGTTTATCTTGTTTTTTGCTTCGTAGGGAGGGGTGCGATAGCTGACGGCAAGGGAGCTGATAGCTCCCCAGGCGAGGTTCCTCCAGAATAAGTGTGCAGGGGCTGAGGGCTGCGCTCTGGGATTATATATCCCTTCTTCCCAATTGACACCAGAGTCCGGGAGAGTGCTTTCTGTTTCACACCGGTCAGAGTAGCTGGAAAGGTCTCAGATAAACTTATTTCAGAAATTACGTTGGTTCGTAGTTTTTTGCGCGAGAAGCCCGCGTGAAGTAGATCTTGCAATAGGATTTTTTTTTTAAGTGGCAGAGAAATGCTGGGTGGGGCGGGGGTGGGGGGGGGACGGGAGGGAGGGGAAAAGGCAAAGATTAGATTAGTGAGGGATCTCCTGTTTTCTTAGCAACAGTACGGAATCCACAAAGCATTCGAAAGGTGCTCTGGGGAGAGTGGAGATCTCCGGCAGAACAGTATATGGAAAATCTCGAGAGAAGCGGAAAGCCAGAAAATATACCCGCTGGCAGCGATCCGCTCCAGATGCGTTTTTGCGGAGAGGCTCCCTCCGCGGATGCACGGGACTTTCCCCGCTGGAGCGCGGCTGCGGCGGCCGCCAAACGCGCGCCCCCGCCCCGCGCGGCCGGCGCTCCGCGGGTGTCCGCGGCCGCACGACGCTGATGTGCGAAGCAGCTGCCCAGTACGGCTCGGCAGCCGCTGTCCTGCCCTGGCAGCGCAGCTTTGCCCGTTTTATTTACAGCTCCCAGAAGCTCAGCAGAATATCTCTCCTTGCATCTGCCGATGATATTTTTTAATCCCGGTGTCTCAAGCCTGTTTACCCCAAAACACACGTCCTCCTCTCCTTGTGGTAGTATGTGATATTACCATCGTCCTAATAGCAGCTGAACGGTGAGGAAAGGCACCCGCAAAAGGAGGTCACCTCCTCAAGCTGGAAGAGATTCTTTTTAAGGAGAGACTGCGGAATTTGAGCGCTGCCAGCGCGAGAGCAAGAGCAGAGCGAAGGCTCCTCTGGATTTCAACCCACTAACATTATAACAGACAGGCAGGCGTCAATGGCTTTCCATACCGCGAGTGTGAAGGAAGTGGCAGGGAAGCGGAGCGGGGGGGGTAAACCCCAGCCCAGCCTTGCAGATGGATCACACACGCCGCTTTCTATATTGTAGCCTGGGTCAAAATAATAGGAGTCAGAAGGGGAAAGATCCAGAGGGAACCAGCCACTGTCTCTTGTACAGATTTGTAGCGAAGCCTTGGCTGTGATTAAAACCTTACAGATAGATTCATTCAATGTGTGGCTCCGTAGAGAGTCGCAGATTGGGGCTTTTTGTTTGGTTAATGTTTTGTTGTGTTGTTGTCGTTGGTTGTTGTTCCTGATGGGGGGTATGTGTATGTGGGGGTGGGGGGGGGGTGTATACCTGCTTTAAAATGCAATTAGGTTTCAAGCGAGTGGCTGCTCAGCTGGAGGACGGAACCCCCGCGGAGGCCCTGGCCGCCCGCCTCTCCCCGCACCTGGTCAGGTGTGCACCCAAACCCCTTCAGTGAAATCCCGCGGACAGGTCTCTCCCCCTCTGCCCATACGGCAAGCCTGGTCTCGGCACACATGATCCCCGTAAAGAGACCGAGCGGGTGGCTGTACCTCCTTCGCCCCTCCGCTGGGACCCTTACGTGGCAGCGGCGTGGGGGGATCTTCCCCTCCGAGGGCCAGGGGACCTCCCCGAACGCAGCCGCAAGTTTGCAGACCGCTGCCTGCGAGGCTTTCACTTGGCAGGCGTCCCCGCCTGCCCGGGTGCTGCTGAAGCAGATGTTTGTTTTAGCGGGGACTTATGTTGTTTTGTTTTCTTTTCAAATGAAAGAAAAAAAAACCCCAACAACAATTAAATAAAAAACCTTTATCTGGCAGAACAAGATGAAATGCAATTAAAAAATAAATCCAAAACAAAACAAAAAACCCAACCCACCACCGCTCTTAAGTGCCTATCTTGGAAGGGCTCAGAGGAGAATGAAAACTCGAGGCTCTTTTAAGTCATCAGAGAAGCTGCAATTTCTCCTGCGGTAGCAGCCACTCTCACCCACGAGCCCAGACA